GAACCACATACTGAATTGATTGAAACCAAACATTGCATGAATGTTCCTTATGAGGTGCTGACTAAGTTTTGTTACTTTGAAGCTGATCCTTCATCCATGATGGCCGCCAATGGGGGGACTTCCTTTAACATAAGACCCTATGGGAAATACATACAAATGCTACTTCTAGAGGTGCACTGAATGGAATGAAACCAAAACATGGCATAAATGTTTCTTATGAGGTGTTGATTAAGTGTTGCTACTTTGTTGCCGATTTACTGTTCAAGATGGCCACCAGGATTTTTTATTAAATTACAGGACCAATATTAAACCAAATTTGGCCTCAATCATTATTAGGGTATCTGTTATGATTTTAATCTATTTTTACATGATTTCCAAAACCAAAGTAGAATCAGGTGAGCGACACAGGCTCTTGAGAGCCTCTAGTTATATTTAATACGACACTTGAACTACATTAACATGCCCATAATGATTATTTCAAATTGTTTTCATAGTCAATTATAAGCCAGTTGCACGAAATTTACATGAAGTACATGAAAAATGTTCAAGTAGAATACAATTACCGGAGTCAAGATAATAAAGAACGGAGAAATTTCTAGTAACAAATAACGGAGCTCAAAATAATAATATGCGGAGAATAACAGTCCATAAATTTAAACAATGAATCTTTCGCTATTCGCGACATTAGTGGGCTTCCATATGCTCTTTGTAAATGGGAAAAAACCCTGTTGATAAAAGATTTCTGTTGTCTTCAAAAGCTGACAATTTAAAAGACATGAAGTCTGAATGAATGTCCAATCTGTCACCTAAATACATGATTACCCTCTAGCCTCGCAAGCGCCAGTATTTCACTAACGGCCTTAAAATTTTTGTTGGCACAATTTGGTAAAGACTGGAAATCTTTTAAAGTCTATGTTAATAATAAAAAATAACACTTGACGGTAAACTAAAGTTTATTCGCAATTTTTGTAAATACTTTGAGATTAAGTAAGTTTTTGACATATGATGAGGACTTTAAGATATCAAAACTTAGCTGAAATGCTTGCAGTATGAAACATCTTTTACTCAATTCAAAAGTAAAATAAACTCCTGGAGTCGATTTCACAAAAAACAGGAGTCAGTTTCACAAAAAAACCTTATGACTAAGATTGATCGAAAGTATACTGAATTGTTCGTGACTTACGATCAATCTCAATTGATATACCTATGCTTAATATTCATTTTTATATTTTATGTTACAGCTTTGACACATAGTAGTTCTGCTTATTATACTTTCACTCTTATTTGTGTTTTATTTGCGTAGTGTTTTTTATAATTCGTGCTGACTTTGCTTTAGTGTTTTACGTTGCTGCTTTAATGCTTTATTATAGTGCTACTTATAGCTTTTAGCTAAATGATCATTCATCCATCCATATTGTGTATTATTGTTTTTTACCTCATTTAACTTAGTTCAGCTTTGCCTAACTTTGTATGAAATACGTGTTGTATGTCTTTTATGCTTTATTATCAGTATTGTGTTTGTATCTTGTATATATTTAATATAATAGCTCAAAGAGCTTATGTTATTGTTATGTGACATGCCGACTTTGAATAAAGCTTTTGATTTAATTTGATTCAATGTTTGACTTTTGTGAACAACCGTGGGTTTACCTGTGTGTAACTTTTCTGTTAATTCTGATGTTTAATGACAAGTATTTAATGTACATTTAGTCAAACATATTAAAAAGAATATCAAAGCGTTGATGGTAAAATTTGTAATTGATCAATCAATTTCTGTTGTGAATGTCTTCGAAAAAATGGGCCAATCAGAAAATTTACTGAACCTAATGGATTCCAGAGACACCAGTCACGAGAAATTTGATATTACCCAATATCTTTTCAATAGTCTAACCTTCTTGTTTTCTCTGCATTCTATTTTTATCAATAAATACAAAAAAACAATATTACACAAACTAAGACAATTGTTTTGAGATTTTTCAGTTACCAAAATACTCATCAACACATAGTCAAGTAAATTATTTGAATTATTGTTTTGTGTAGATAAGACAAAAACAAATTATGAAGATATTCCGTATCACTCATTTTGCTAACTGTACGAGAAATAATAAAAATGTGTGAATCATCAATGGAAGACTTTTGTGAATATAAAGTAATAAATGTTTGCCCCATTGCCGGCAATGCTATTTTTAGCAATTATCTCCTTAAATGGCGTTTTTAAAAAAACTATTTATGGAAAAACTGCTATTGTCTAATTTGAGCGCAAGATCTATTTGTGATTTTGCCGCACTTAAATATATATGGTCCCATGGCTTTTCTTGGTGATTTTTTTTTTTTTTTTTTATCATACCTTACGATTTAGCAGAAAATTTTCGGCAATTTTGATTAAAATAAAAAAGTATTTCCGGCCCATAATCATATAAATTTGAGGACAAATTTGTGCTTGCATGAAAATTTATTCATAACGCTTTCCAGGAGAAAAAAAACCTAAATGATATAACAACCAATCACAGATAGCCAGCTTTTTTCATCTCTATGTCATGATCCATTCACGAATGGCTGCGCCCATGTAACTTTATTTAGTACATTGTAACCTATACGGTAATAAACCATTTCTGAAATCTGATATTTTTTGCCGCATTAGTTAAGTGAACATTACTTGATTTCATACCACCATGCAAAAGACCTAATCGAAAGCTGTAGAAAACACAGGAATTCATTTCTGGACCCTTCCCCTATTGAAAAACTTCTGAAAAAACACACTGTTTTTATAGACATTACGGTACTATTTGTTACAGGTGTAATAATTTGTCTCTTTATTAGTATTGACTTTCCGAAGTTAATATGTGCTTCTGATATTGATCAACAAAGAACTTGATTTGAATGACCCTGCGCCAAAAACCAAATTAAAAATTCGGACGAGTTCATTATAAAATGAAAACACATATTTGAAACGGACTATAGTCTTGGAAATAGGATTCATGTGCACATTTTTGGTCAGTTTTAACAAAATACAGCTTCTGGTGGTCTATATTAGTCATACGAATGGTCCGGATCATGTTTTGAATGATGTGAAAACGTTCCGCTTATGAAAGGGACCCTTTGAGCAATTTTTACAGAAAAGGGGAGGGTTATATCCGAAGATTTCTGCTATACATGATGTGTCAGGATCTAACAAGTACCACCAAAAGTCAGGCTTACGTCTGTATAACAAGCCTGTGAGAAAAAATTTGGACAAAAATAGAAAATACACACCAAGGCGAATTTTATTCTGTACCTACCCGTATTTTGACTACAAATAAGAAACAGACTATAACATGAAAACTGAGCTATTTGTAAATATCACAACATTAGTGAAGCGTTTTTGACGTCAAATTCCTTCTTTGAAAACCATTTTTTACATGTTCTGAAACTATTTTAGAATATAAAGTACTAAATGTTTGCCCCATTGCCGGCAATGCTATTTTTAGCAATTATCTCCTTAAATGGCGTTTTTAATAAACTATTTATTGAAAAAATGCTGTTGTCTAATTTGAGCGCGAGATCTATTTGTGATTTTGCCGCACTTAAATATATATGATCCCATGGCTTTTCTTGGTGAATTTTTGGGTTTTTTATCATACCTTACGATTTAGCAGAAAATTTTCGGCAATTTTGATCAAAATAAAAAAGTATTTCCGGCCCATAATCATATAAATTTGAGGACAAATTTGTGCTTGCATGAAAATTTATTTATAACGCTTTCCAGGAGAAAAAAACATAAATGATATAACAACCAATCACAGATAGCCAGCTTTTTTCATCTCTATGTCATGTTCTCCACGAATGGCTGCGCCCATGTAACTTTATTTAGTACATTGTAACCTTGTCCCCTGCCGTCTCTTAATAAAAAAAGCAATAATGGCTATCCAAAGTTATTTTGGTTATAAAAACCCAAATTCATTGACATCGAAAATGGAAAGAAGGGGTGCACAACGTATGATCTGTAGAAGAATATGTGTATGTTTGGTTGAATTCTGTCAAACCCTTTTCAAGGAGTTGCAGATAATTTAAATGTGACGCGGACGACCATGACGGAAGACGACAGAAGTTGTTCCTATGTGTACAGTAGATTAACATGTGTAAAAAAAAACACCTTTTAAATACATTTGTCAGTAATCACAAAACATCACATCTAAGATGCATTTTTTCAATACACTGGCAAAACAAGATCGTATAGAAATTTACAAAATATGAAACGTGTCATTGTCCTAACGCTTAGTTTTTAAAACTGATTAATGAGCGGTAACTGGTTTTACAAGCATATGGTTTTCAAGTTATGTTAACAAGGAAATTTCACAAATATAAAGATGGGAATTTTCGGATGATTTATATTATCTTCCAAAAATATTATTTACGTAATAGGTTGCAACGGAATAAGCCTTATAAGCAGATATGAAATCAGAAATCTACACTTGGAATGAAACTACCGACAAGTGAGTAAATAACATTTTGTGATATTTTAAATTTGAAATGTTGCTTCACACCATACAATAAATCGAAATTATAGAATAAAATAATGCTTTAATGTATACTTTTGGCATATTATTTTTTCAAAAACACTCCTATAACTTAACGATAACGTATTATACTAAAAGTTTTATGGAATTTCCATTTGAAATGGCAGTCATCTTAAATCATTTAAATAATTTCCATACAACTGTGTTCATTATGCAAATTTATGTTTTATTTTCATTGGATATTTGCAGCAATAATGAAGCCTACCCTTTGTACTGTATTGGTAATAACGTTACTGATTGTAAACCTCATAGAACAGTCTGAGGCGCACACTATTGTTAAACGAAGTGGAGGTGGGGGAGGAGGAGGAGGAAGCGGTGGTGGAGGTGGGGGTGGCGGAGGTGGTGGCGGCGGAGGCGGTGGTGGTGGTGGAGCTAAAGGCGGCGGCGGCGGTGGTGGTGGTGGTGGTAAATCTGGAGGAGGTGGCGGAGGCGGTGGAGGTAAATCTGGAGGAGGAGGTGGCGGCGGAGGACGAAGAAAATAGAACAAAAGGTATAATTCTCTGTTTTATAACTATAAAGATGTATTAGGAGATTCCAACTAATATTTCAATGAATTTTAAAAAAAATGTTTCTGTGATTTTTATTTTATAAATATATCTTGTTGAAAAAGAAAAAAAAGACGGAAGTGATAGCAAGTTGCCAGTTTGTTATAATTCTCACTTTAGCATTTTCTTTTTTTTTAGTACCTGCAAATGAAACTACGATACGGCTGTAAAAGACGGGTCATCTTTTCCTGTAAACATTTTAAGCTGAGAATTTATTAATAGTTTTCACTGACTTATTTTCTTGCATAGCTATATGTTTGAAATATGAACTAACCGTATCCTTTGTTTTTTCTATAATTGTATAATAAAAAATAAACCAGAATCATTATTTTATTTTCCTCAAAATGAGAATCTGTAAAAGTATAAATTTATTGGAAATAAAAACATTTTTGTCTGCAAGTTCAGATAATCATTGAGGATTAAGTAATATCTACTGTGTAGTAATTTTATCTGGGGATTAGCCATCTGGGGTCTAGGGCTGTATTGTACATCATGAGTGTAGAAACTTTATATTCTGCCTGAGGCCAATGTATGCTATGGTCAAATAAGGAAGTGGATTAGCCAGTTATTGGGAGGGACAATTAAGATCAGATTATTGCATGAACTTGGACATGCAGTCATTCAGCTAATTTCTCTGAAAGAGGAAACATCTTTTATTTGAAACTTGGAAAATATTTTGTAACTTTTTGCAAAAACCCACCCATCTTCCACCCAATTTTAATGACAGTTTAAATCATTAATTTTTACTGTTATTATTTTATCATCTTGAGATACTAGATATGTGATGCTTCACAAGATTATTTTTATTGTATTTGTAGTAGTATTTTACTATTTGTTCCTGTAATGTATGATATACTGGTTGGGGCATTTTCTAAACCCCACCTTTGCTTTTTAATGTCATTGTTATTTATTTGCTACTATTGATATTGTTAATATGTCATTCTCAATTAATGATAAATTTTGAATAAATGACATTTTGCTCAACTTGAGTTTTATATTAACAGCAAACTTAGCTCGGCCTCTCTATAGGTTGTTGAACATCATCTTGAGGAACCTTGGCTGTCAAAAATAATATTTCTTGATACTAAACTAAACTTCTTTACATGTTTCGAACATAAAAAAGAAAACTTTTAGTGCGTTTTACTGCCCAAAAAGCCTTTACTTATTTTCCTTTATGTTAGACCATGGAAGACTTGTATAATATCATATGTGGTCTTCGTGTAATTGGTTGTCGCTTGCCATAAATGTTTTTTCGTTCAATTTAGTTAGTTTAAAAAATCAGGTCTTTATTTTTTCTTAATTGTTTATTTTCACATTTTGTTATCCGGGTATCCAGTTTATAACTTATTATACGCAATGAGTTTTATTCATTGTTAAACGTTGTACCCTGACTTGAATTTGTTTACACCCTTGTCTTATGGTTTTTTGTTGATAAGTCTCTCAATAATAATCTAACTAACTATATCTTCTTTTTTTCAATATTATATTCCATTATATATAAACTGAGTTAATTTCCAGCTAGTAATGCATGTGCATTAACTTTTTATCTCGATTTCTATTAAAACAGCACGGCTACTTCCAGTGACTGTCGTAATGTTAAAAGAAGAAGCAAAATTAAGTTTGGGGAATTCTCAATAACTTGATTTTTTTTAAATGCACCAAAGGCTCACATGCCTTACTTTTTTAAGAATATACAAGTCTGGAACCTTTCTGGTACTCAACTTTTTTTAATGAAACACGCTGAAGTCAAGGAGAATTCGTAAGTGTTCAAAAATAAATGTTGTATCCCTACGATTCACATCTTTTTAAGTTTTAAACACTCTGCATTTAATGAAAGTTTAATAAAGAAATTTTACACATACTATTTAAACTACGGTTTGGAGAGTATATCCAGTCAAACTGTGAGACACATTATACAATGAAGAATAATGCAATCATTGACTACATTACAAACTAAATTGTTGTTTCGGAAGAGAAAAGATAATCGTGCTTTAGATGTTGGGGATATAAAATTTTTCATAATGTTTTTCCTTTGAGAAGGTTCTGTATGATTGCTGCTTCATATGGGTACAAAAAACAAATCGACCAGTAGTGGTGCACAATTAAAGCATTGGAATACAGACTGTCTGCTGAACTATCATTTTACCAAACTCAACAAATATGTTGTCGAACAAAAAGTCCAGCATTTTGATGATACCATCTTCGATTTTTTTGTTGTGGAAATCACTCTGGTTCTTCATAGAGAAAAATTTTTCATGACCTAAAACAACAAATTTATTTCTACATTTCCCATTTTTGTTGACAATGTAGTCGATCCTCCAATTGCGCATGGTGAATATTTCAATGAGTGCTTCATATATCCCAGTGAACTTGAGATAAAAGATACCACCAAAAATAGTAGGTCGGCTTCGTGTCTTGATTTTCACCGCGATATTGACACAGATGGACGTCTTCAAACTATAATCTATGAGAAACATAATCATTTCAAATTTCGTATTGTCGACTTTTTTTCAATTCTTCAGAAGTAAAGTAACATACCCTCTGCTCCATCGTATAGCATGTAATACGTGATGCTTTTGCATTTTCACATTATACGGACTTTATTAACAGGGATGTGCTTCTTAAACAAAAATGCTTCAACAAATATAAAAATAAGAAGATGTGGTATAATTGCTAATGAGACAACTCTCAACCAGAGACCAAATGACATAGAAGTTAACAACTATTAGATCACCGTACGGCCGTCAACAATGAGCAAAATCCATAGCGCATAGTCAGCTATAAAAGTCCCCGAAATAACAAATGTAAAACAATTCAAACGAGAAAACTAACGGCCTGATTAATGTAAAAAAAAAACAATGAACGAAATACAAATATGATATACAGCAACAAACGACCACTGAATTACAGGATCCTGACTTGGGACAGGCACATAAAGAATGTGGCGGGGTTAAACATGTAAGCGGGCACCCAACCATCCACCTAACCTGGGACAGCGATGTAACTGTACAACATATGAACAAACTATAAAAATCAATTGATAAGGGCTTAACTCATCAGATCACAAAAACGCAGACAGGACGAAAGTTATGGGGAAGAACGACTGAAATTTATACCACATAAGATTTACGGTTAACAGCACAAACACACGTATTTTCACTTGTATACAAAGCATGATATTACTAAAACCACAACAAAAATTTCCGAAAACTATTGCTTCACAATTGAACATATTTGACGTCATAATTAAAAAGTGATACGCCAGTTCCGGGATACGGTAGTTAGTTGAATCTGTCATGTGACGTCAATCACCACGCGACCAAAATGTAGGCATCGTCAATTCCAACACATGTTTAGCGAATGGGTGAACAAGTTTGATCTTATATTGCACAAACTATTAGGGAAATTAAAACCTAGCAAGTTGGCCCCCCTCCCTTCAGTCGTACGGAAATGAAGATTACGTACTTACGAAACATAAATTATTTCAAGATTACCCTGCAGAATGACGATTCTGAAAGTGCTTGAAACTTTAATAGTGCAGGGATACAGGCGTGCCTTTTATCTGGTAAATGATGTCATAAAGGCGTACGAAATTGTTGATCTTTTCCGGTGAAAGACATGATTCGAGAAATAGCCTATTATTGCATGACGTCAAACGGTTATTCAGAGACAGATCTAGGGTCATTCAGAGCAAATTCAGCTAAATTCATGAAAGTGTAAAAATACGTCTGATGGTCGACCGATACGAATTGTCGGTGTCTCAACTCACTACCGACGTGATTTTGCAGTCTCAGATCTATAAATACCAGAATAGTCGTCCGATTTGTAATTTTACCGATTGTACTCTATTCATGATTGCGACATTTTGACCGAGAGTGATTCACATAGCGGGTGATGAATACATAAACGAGACGCTTACCACGTCGACCCACCCGGTCTCGATCCTTTTTGAGTTCATGCAATTCTCTGTTTTTATATATTTTTACCACGATTTCATTTGGCCTGAATAACATACATCAATGACATAAGCATGATCCGATGTAATTATCTGGGGTCATGGATTACATTTTATCGATTTTTAGATGACGTTTAGGGAAAGTTATAAGTACTCGCAGGTAATTTTGTTTGATCGTGTAAACGGATTTCTTTTCAAAACCATATTTCAGGACAAAAAGGTGCTATGAAAATCATGCTGTGACTTTTTATAATAATGTTTGCAATAATCTGCACAAAAATTTAATATCGATGACTGTGTTTTTATTCTATACCTCACATAATTTATCAATTTTGAACACTTTCAGTTTGTTTCACGCCTTGTTATTGTACCGTATTAGCTTATCGCTCCTAGATCAAGTAAAGTTACCTAAATTTTTCAAACCTTTCTGAGAAATAAAAATATTTTGCATGTGAGCTGTTTAAAACTGAAAGGGAGATGGCTCTTTTGTTGGGTTTTAATTAAATTTGGTAACACAACCCTGTACAATAATTTACGTATCTAAATCCATACAATTTTTCAAATTCGGATAATAGAAATGTTTAATAAATGTAAAAATTAAGTATTTCATATTTGTTTTTTCTTCTTCTGATTTTGAAAAGTCCTCATTTTAAAATTTGAAATATTTACTAAATGTAATTTTTGTAATACAAATGTAGCAGAAATATTTTGAAATTTTGTTGTATTCCAACACAGTTAAACATTCATTTCAAATGTTAAGGCTGAAGTTTATTTTATGTTTATTGACTATAAAAAGTTTGAGGTACTGAATAACATTGAAAATAGCTAACTGACATCTGAGAAATCTTTTAATTAACTTTCAGTTGAATAATCATTATAATATGATAATACTCATAAATGGAAGTATTGCAATTTTAGATGCTTTCAAATTATAAAGGCAATTATGAAATGTCAAACTATGGAAATGCCATAAGTGATACTGTAGAAAACGTGATATTTCAAAATTCTTTGTGTTGACTTTGCATTATTTCAACACTAAAGATTGAGTTTTGCTCGTTAAAAGAAAGGAAATATAACTCTACTGAATACCAGGATGCTCATATTTAATGATGGAAAGTAAATTGATCTTTTTAAATTTTCTAAACATCTTTAACAAAACAATAAATGATACTGCAATTGATTTCATATCCAGGTATGTTACAATACATTAAGATATGATGATAGCTACACCAGTTTACTGTGAGATATAATGAAACAACATCGCTAGCCTCGCATTTCAAATTATTTAGACTAGCAGTCATTTTGGATGTTAAAACCCTCAAATTTGTTCCCAACCACATATTCTGCGAATTTCTGCTCACGAATTATGCCCCGTCAGTCACCGGTTCTGTGAATCTAACTATTTACCATAAGCAACTCAGTTCTGTTAACCTCAATCGGGGAAAAAAACATTCCTGTCAAAACTTTGTTGTAATTTGCAAATCGAATACAATGATATATGAATGGGAGAAACACAAACGTAATATTAAAGTCATATGAAACATCAAATTAAAAAAACAAGTTGAATATATTTCATATACTTAAATGGCTAAGTTTTACCATAAAGCAAGTATACGTGAGCTTTCTTGTAAAAGAAAATCTTCATTAATGTACTACTATTGAATTACCCCGGTATTGTCTTCCCGTACACTAATTCGCCGATATTTTCCCGTATACAGTGACATTATCTACAAGACATCTCCTTAGAACTTAGGCCAAACAGCGCAAGTGCGAGGGAAAACCTGTGATGAAAGAATGTAAATAAACGTGGACTTAAAGGTAAAAAGTAATAACTGATTCTTAAGAACAAATCAAATACACCAAATCGTATAACAACTGTTCAGGAAAAGTTGAATTAACAAATGAAAATAATAATGTCATGGCTCTAATAATTCACTTATTTTTCACATTTTCCACGTGCTCGGTGTTGATTGTTTATCAATGTCACGATCCGGTCAACTTCGGCAACATCCTTGAAAGTTAACTAGCT